ATTTCTTGCTGATTTTCCAAATCAAGTTCATGTTCTTTACATCTGATTTTTTCTAAATAATTTAAATGTTTCATGTGTTACATGCCCATGCCGCTGAGATGTTTAGAATCACACCGACCGCACCAAATCAACCAATTACACATAACACAATGGTGACCGCCGATTCGACGTTCGAATTACACAACGCAAGAATTAGCGGCATAGTTTAACAAGTAAGGTAACTTAAAATATGAATTATTGTTTCAAATCAATAAGATAACAAAATGTAAAAAATGGGTGCCTCTGCCAACTAATTTTATTTATCTGCAGCAAGAAACGCGTGTTGAAACTTATATTGCTTTGTTGAATTGGTATATTAATGAAGGAAAATTTGGTATTGTGACATATATCGAAAAGTTTCTTTTCGATAACCAAAAGTGAAAAATGCAATGGCTCACTCCAGATTAAACGAAGCAAAGTTTGCCATTAAAAAAAGTAATGTTAACTGTTTGGTGTTTTATTTATGCCATTATTCACTATAGCTTTCTCAGGTCTGGGGCTCTATTTTTGAATCATTCGTCTCGCGTCGAGCGCTCGTTTTCTTCTATCACTCGCATACAACGTTCGCTAAGCGACGAGTGGTTCATAACACTCGTTGCAGTCGAGCGATTTAGAAATGGCGAATTTGTTAAGTCGAACGAAAATCAGTAGAAAACGAGCGCTCGACGCGAGACGAATGATTCAAAAATAGAGCCCCTGGTAAAGGAGTAATAACAGATGTTTACTGTACCGAACTTCAAACAATGATGATGAAATCAACAGTGAAAGAGCCCCGATTCATGAATTTTCGTTCGCCATAATTATTTCATGATAATGTAAGACCTCAGATTGCACCAGAAACTTTTGTACCTCTACAGGTGCTGCAGTTAGAAAATATACGTTATTCTCCGTACTTGTATTATATGTGCCAGGCAAAAGATAACACTGTTCCCCATAATAAGTAAAAATAGCTATAACATGTTACTATATTAGATGCATTTGATTATCTTCGTCTTAAAAAGATAAATCTATCATCAAAATAAGTTCCATATGTAACTATAATAACTGAACATAATTTTTTTGTTAATTGTTAGAAAATTACAATCTTAAACCTAGTATACTGTATATAGGAAGATACACTTATCTAAAAGAAAAATGTTTTAATCAAAAAGATTAATATACATTATTTTAATCATTATAAGCAATGATATTACAATAGAAAAGGGTAGATGGGTTACTTTAATTCAAAAAGTGTCACCATTAAACTATGCTAATTAGCATACCTGAGCGCAGTCTGGCGAAAGCGTTGATTGTGTGCGTTTATAAACTAAACTAAACTCTATAAGTAAGTCGTGTTAAGACCAAAGGGTCACATTTTATTCGTAAGAATACATTTTTAATTGACCTGCGTTTCAATCAGAAAAATAAACGTGTCATAAAAACAAAGAGTAAATACTACGGTTACAAATTGTGAAAAATATCTGTAAAAAATCTTGTAAGTAACAGAACGGTCAATTCGACTTTAAATTGTTTAGGTAAAAGTATGCATGTTTAAGCATTAAATCATTATTCGTCTGGTCTTATATGTTAAATGATAGTCTATGAATAATTGGAGAATATCGTGCCATGTGCGTGTGTGTATGCTGGGGACTATTTTTGACATCGTATTAGCCTGGATTAGAAGGCTATAAATTGAAGTTAAAATCATTGTACCATATATAAAAAAATATTTGAATCAGTCAAAAATACTAAATCAATTTCATAATGTAGCCAACATAACGTAACCATAATGTAACCATTTCAAGATACTTGTAGGTAGCTTAAGCTCTCGGTCCGAAACAACGAAGCCACAACACTATGACCCAAGACAATGTAGAAAAGTTAATGTTTCTTCATTGATTCAACCGGGTATCAAACCCTATAGTTCAAATAGACGACACTTTGAAATCTCCAATAATTGCTTTCATAATATTTTAGCAACTAATAACATTATTTTAGCAGCTAGTAACATTTAACATGCATTTGATTGTTTCGTTACATGAAAATTCCTAATAACAGTTTTTGTGTATTATTCATTGACTGTTGTGCGTATCTATCTTAGCAATACTCTTTAATTTTGGAATCTTTAATTTAACTTGCAATGCATTTGAATAGGGTGTCTCAGTATGGGTGAACTTTTAAATTTTAGAATCATTTCTTTTTCGTGCAAGTGGCAACTCTGAAATTTGACAACTTATAGTTATTCTGATTATTAAAACTGGAGTGCTTTTCAAAAAAACAACGCGTTATAATTGTGAAAACTCATTACAAAAGTGAGTAAAGTCTCACGAAATTTTGATGTCGCCTGGCCACCAACAACGAGCGATTTAACGCAGTGCGTTTTTTCTGGGGTTATGGCTGATCTCGTGTTTATTCAAATAAATGAGAAACAGTTCCTGAACTCAAATTTCATGAAAAAAGTAATGGCCTGTCGTCAAAGCCGTGGGGTCTATTTACCAGATATTTTATTTCATACTTATTTGGAATATGTCTTCTTTACAATTCAATAATAATATCGAGTTGTGATATTATATATATAAATCTCATAAAATACGTGTACATTTGAACAATGAACCTTTCAAGTTTGGGAAATATGATTTTTCTGAAAACTGGGTCACGGGACTTAGTTTTAGCAATGGAATAATAGCCCATTGCGGCATCCATCTCAGAATCACTCCATGATCGTCAAATCTTGCGATTGAATTTTAAATTTGTGCTCAAATGATTAAGCTGATATTTTGAATACACCATCAGATTAAAATGCAAGATTAATTAAGATACATCACTTAAAATCTTATAAAGGTGTCGAAGGACCCAAAATGGCGACCTAGTTATTATATTTTTTATGAACGATATCATGATTGACTATTAAATAAATTATCGCTAAAAGTATGAAAATGACCATCGTCCACGTTAGAGACTAATTCTGTTTTTATGCACTCTCGTAATAGTTGTTATTCAATAAAAGGGTTCTCTATGAAGATTACGATTTATAACAAATATATAACAAAGCTCGTTTAATTCTATCGTATAATATAATATAATATATATATATATATTAAACTAGCTTTGTTTAAATGTAAATCTTACACATCATTTTGCTATATTAGAATACATAAATACTGTTCATATTAGTGTTCGTCCAGCAGTTCAAATTCGACCATAAAGATTGAGAATTATAGGTTGTTTTATCACAACCTATGTTTGTTTGACATACAGTAAACAAAACATTCAAATGTAAACAAATTGCATTGTTATATATTTTCTATATCATTTTAACGTGTTTAAAAAAATGCATTCTACACCTTCTTCTCAATATAAACTTTAGTTGTGCCAAAAAAGATCATGCAAAGCATGTACATAAGATATCAATAATATATATTGATGTTCGTAAAAAGAAAAGTATCAATATTTGAATCTTACTAAATATAAAATAAAAATATTAGGGGAATTGAGCTGTTCAACCGTTGGGGTGATTCATTACGTATTGAATCTAATGGAAAATAAAAGATAATGAAAAACTAAATTAAATTTTTCAGTTTGTGCTTTAAAATCTAGATTGATCCCCAAATTTTTATAATACTCGACTAGGACTAATGTACTTCTTTTATGGACTATCAAAATCAGATAGAATAATACATTCTGCTTAAACAATTACCAAACTTTTTTTATCACACTTTTATGATTAAGTAGAAACCTAGATTTATAAACAACTCAAGTAATGGTCATACAGTTTCGCTCCCATAAATATATATTAATTAAGTGTTCTATCAAAATCAATAATTAATTTATTTGGTCGGTGCTTTCAGATTTTGACACGTACCAATTGAATGATATCCTTTCATATCCTAATTGTGCAATTATCGTAAAAAGAGGTCCAAAGTTATTGCATATATGTATTAGTACTAACACTAGCTTTTTTCTTCTATTAAACATACTTGTGTTATACTAATCAACCTGTCTCTTGAATCATTTTGTATATTGATGGAAACCTCATAAAAATTCGTTGTGTTATTTAAAACGTACAGCCAATGGGAAGCAACTTTGTTATATATATATGCTTTGTTTATTTGCATCGAATAGGCTCCGAAAATTCTTTTTAAATCTAAATATAAATTTTTAAATGTTAAATATATTTTTTTTATAGCTATACCTACACATAGGCAAAAAAATAGATTATTTGCATGACGTTGCACTCATAGGTACAATTTTTATATAATTCGTCAATAGGAGTTTCAATAGGATATTGAATTAATAGACAAATATTTTTTTTAGATTGTACTTTCAATTTAAGTAAGAACTTATTGCAAATAAATAAGAATTGGTAATAATCTTATTCTAGAAATATTATTTTTCTTTATAACGCATATTCATTGAGCTCATTAAGTAGAGTGACCACTTTGCATAATATAATCATAATGCATGTAAGACATAAAACGGCAAAAGATTGAAATATGAGATATAAATCTTTGGTCATCCATCTGTAAAACGACCTTTAAGCAATTAGCTTAACATGTGTGATCGTAAACATATGCGATATCGTAGTATTGCTTAGTAATAGAAGCTGAGCAAAAATTGATAAGGAATTTAATACCGTTGTGTACATTACAGTCTAAACACATATTGTTTACAAAATATTAACACATGTTTAGGTATACATGATTATATTAAGAATATTAATGTTCGATTGATTAATCGAAGAATTAAGCATAAAAATGGCTCCAACTCTTCGAGGAAATTCACACCTATGCCGGTATAAATTAAATAAATTAACGAACAAAAATTAACGCTTCGTATACAAACCATTTCAGATAATATTCAAACAATGCATTAAATCACAAAAGCGCTACCTGTGCATACATCATATCCGAGCGCAGCAAATAAGGTTACCGCCAATCATTATTCGAATACAGATTTTCCTCATACTATATGCATTCAGACGATCACTGGCCAAACGAACACCTGTCTGTCATAGAGGGCTTACCGGAGAGGCATTGTGGCGATAAACGACGATGATATTGCGGTGGCGCTGGTGGCAGGAAGCAAGGCCGCTCGGGAACCGGCGGTGACGGTCCGGGGCTCTGCCAGTCATCAGATGGGATACTAGAATGGGTCCCCATGTCGATATATCCATGCCTGTCTAGGCGGCGAGCGGGCCAGCATCGCAAGCACGCGCCGCCTCTCTCCACTCTTAGGCACTCAATTTTGGCTTCTTTATTAACTAGTGACACGACCGCTCCCGATGCGGTTCGCGACAGGATTGAAGAGGACTGCCTGCCCGCACGCAGCGCACGCTCATAGCCACGTGCGCTCGGCATGCTCGCAGGCAACGTGCACGCCGCTCGGCACGTGCCGCTCCCCCCCACGGCCCAACCCCCACCGGCGCCGCCCCTTTAAACCTTCATCTCCCGGTATTTGCTACACATCACTGAAACAAAAAATCAAAAGGGCACCAACACGCAGGAATGGCGCTCGTTGAGTCACGTTGTCGCTCGAGGTCACTATCAGACATATCGACTCCGCTGACGAGATTCACTTAAACAAAACACAAGCCTTAACGATATCTCCTTACGTTACATTATCACGTGTCATAATTAATTTGATTCTTATGTCGATTCAACTGATTTTCTGTAGATAATAGAAAAGATTTAAAAACACAATCTCTAAGATTTTAAATTGCATCAAATATTTATTATTCTATAATACCTTATAAATGTTCTTCATTCAACAAAAAATATGATGCATTATCATTTGATTCATGTTCAAATCCTGAAAGCCTAAATCTCCTCAATGAAGCTCATTCAAATATAGAAACGGGGAATCCGTAAACGGTACTATGATGCCTCTAGCGCACTCTATGACAAATAAAATGAAAATGATAATAAAGGTCGGTGCATATAAGAGTACTACAGAATGCTTACAGAAAATGAGAAACGTCAGATCTGACAAAGTATTAAAATAGATAAGGTGACATTCAATCTTGCACACTTGCATTATTATATTACACCTATAGTTTTGCTCGTTACTCATGGATATTCCATCAGATTTACACCAACTCACGAATATCGAAAATGTCAACAATAATATTTACGATGTAATTTAATATTCTAAGGGGAACAGTTTTGTTTTGTGACAAAGTAAAATTATCACAAAGTTCAGGTTCTGGTGAGGGTAAAAAACCTATTAATTAGACTCCGCTGTCCATCCGCCTATCTGTCCGTCTCTCTGACTGTCTGACCATCTGTCTGTCCATCTGTCATTCTGTTTGTCACCAGGTTTTATGTTTATGACGTGCAATACGCCATGCTATCCATTTCATCCAAGTTTGAAACTCTTTGCCCATATTTAGTCTTAGACCAAATTGTGTTTATACTAAAAACAAAACCGTCTACAACAAAGAATTGCAGATCGCATTTCCAATCTACACGTGTGTGTGCTTGCATAGAAGCCGGTGTAACAGTATTTGCGGTTTCAGAATCGCGTTTATCGCAGTCTGGTCTCAGCCTTAGGGTAGGTTAAAGTCATGGCCACGGCCTCAATGCGGCCAACCGCTGACGGCAGTGTTGCTCACCGTCTAGTTTAGGAGTAAGTTTAGTTCATACTTTTTTCCTCGATCTATCTATCCAATGTGGAAATAGCGAGACACCCAGCAGTACAGCCTTTTAACTTTATTAATGGAAAAGCGAATTCATAATGTGACTGTTTTGGGTTCGATGCTCAGGCAAATGAATAAAAGGCTGACTAAGCTTGAGAACTTGATTTAATAAAGGTTAAATAAAAAATCCTTTTTCTTCGGGTTCGTGAGTAATTTAACTTTATTATATTTGATTTGATACAGTATACATTTTTCTTGAGTTCAAACACGTGAGCTTAGCGGAAACAGGTAATATTAAATGGATTTTAAGACATTTTTTACAACAAATTGCTATTGATTGAAATTATGTATTGTGTTTCTAACTCGACGAATTTTTACGAACTGAGATTTATAAAGAGCATATTAGGTTTCCCAAATTTCAAATTACGAAAAGTAAAGTAAAAAAAATATGTTGAAGATCAAAGACTTAAAGTTTGCATGCGGAAGGAAACCTAAACGGTGATAAGACGCTTCGTAACATCTTGTAGGCACATTTTGTTTCCTTTTCCGTTTATACGCAATAGTATAAAAGAAAGTCACTTCCTGCTCTGGACGCTGAGATTTTTAAAACTTCGCCACGGGTTTTAATGTAATTTTCATCTTGATTAAAAAACAGAGTGATTAAATAGGAAGGTTTATGTCTATAACACAAAAAAGGAAGCTAGTTTTGCATTATAGTGATAAATATTGTGTCAAAAAAGTTGCTATTGCAACGGCATCTACATGCAATAATTATGTTAACAGAATAAGGCTCCCAGTACTCCATCACTTAGAGGACGACTGCATGATCTTTGACTTCAGTCAATCAGTTTTTACAAACATTAATCAAAATTATTAAAAAAAAAAAACTAATGTGTACTAATTCATAATATTTATTTAAGAAATCAAAATCGAATATCCATATAAAGTGTGTGTGATAGGCATCTCATCACAGTGTTAATATTTACAACTAAACATATTCTTTGCTGATTTCAAAAAACTATAACTAAGTGTTTTTACTATCACAATCAGCATGCATATAAACTATTTTTATTTAATAAAATAAATTAATTATTCACAAATCATCGTTAATTAAGGTGAAGAAACCATACGTCTAAAAATATATGCCTAGGTGATAAATCCAATAGATTACTGTGACATCTTTTGTTGCTCTAAATTGAACCAGACACCACAAATCTTAATAATAGAATATGTTCAATATTTTTCTATTTAGAAAATGCTTATTTAATAACAAGTTACGCAATTGCTTTATAAATATTATGTCTTTGTACAGAGACGTCAAAATGACTTAAATAACTAAAGTCGTTGATTCATTATAAACAGAAAGACAGAACATTTGAATTATCTCGAACTCGTAATAGTTATTTTTATGTAAATTAAATGTAGAAATAACATGGTTATTGTAGTATAAGAATTTGATAATGTTTGAATTGCAACGTGAAAATACATTTTCCGTGTGTTGTAACCAGTTGTAACTCACATAACTTCTAAATTATCAGATGAATTTGTCTTCTTTAAATAAATGAAATAGGACTGTCATAAAAAACAAACTTGAGAAAAGTAAAAAAATATAGAAGTAAAAGTTTATAATATATTCAAAACGAATGAATAGCTTAATATGAACACTCGTTTATAAGCTTGATACACTCGTTTATAAGCTTTATAATATATTGACATAACTATATAAAAACGCAATTCCTTCGCTTTTTTCAAGTTTTTAATAGCTAACCGTGGGACAAATAAGATCTGTCTGGGTTGGTCTATATATCTGCTAGAAGATCAGAGAAGTAAGTATAACGACAGTACCTATGCGTTAGTATGTTCGATATCATTAGTGAAATTACAATGTGTTCGGAATCACATTTTGTGGTGTAATCTAATTTTCATTTACAATTTTAGATTGTATGAGTTTCACTGCACGTTGGTTTTAAAGAGTTCTACTCATATTTAAGACGCTGAATAGTGCCAAATCGGTAAAATTGATCTTGGATTGTACTAATTCACGGGAAACCTATGGCAATCCAAAAATTTGTGGTTATACTTGATCGTATTTCTGATCTTGTGGTTGAAACCGAAACATGATTGTATTAACTTCACTCGATAGAAAATAATTCCAAAGTAGCATCTAAAAATATTGCGAAAGGCTCTTTTCTCAATTATGTGATACATTAGAGTAATGATATTGAGTACAAATATGTATCAAAGGTTAATATAAAAGTTGGTTATTCCCAATTTTTGATAATGTTATTATAATAATTATTATAATTTATTTTGTGATATGGCACATATGGTCATTTTTTTCAAGCAACTTTAAAGTATTGACATTTCTGTCACTCCTACTGCAATTGACAGGGAAGGCTATAGAATAACGCACACTAACTTAGTTCACGCTGAGGCGTGTTGCTAGATGGACCTATGTTGCTTTGTGCAGCGTTCTGACGTACCGAGATCGCTAAAATTGTAAAAAAAAGAACATTTAAAATAAGTATTTGAATTTCGCCCTCATTTAAACAATATATTTGGTGTAATGTACGAGGGAAGGGACCCGAGTGTCTCGAAGTTGTAAGTTCTAATCCCACCAGAGCTCGCATTTTTTCAAGTCGTTTTTTTATTATTTTATTCTAATTTTCATTTTTTTTCTGCCATAATTTTAAAAAGCAACTTTTTTTTATATTATTAAACAGTATAAAATGTGAAAATAAATATTTCTTTAGTATGACGTAGGCGAAAGTCAGACTGACATTTTCATACAAAACCCCGATATTGATGAAATAGTTCCAATAAAATACATGTTCGTGTTCCAATCCCATCAAAGAAGCATTTTTGTTTTACTTTTATCTTCTTTTTCCTAATATATTTTCCTCTCTCATTTTTTTATAGGTATATGTTATTCATTAATAATTCGTTAAAATAATTTTGAATATTATTTTATACAGTAATTAAGTATTATTTAATTATCTAGTCTAGTTGATAAATTTAATTGCTGTAAAAATATATAACATAAAATTTGACAATAGGTAAATATTTCCATAAAAGTATGTGTTTGCAAAAGTTTGACATTTTCATGCAAAAACCATCCCGTAGACCGTTACTCTAGTAAAAAATAATTCCTAATCAATCATATTGTGTAAATAAAATAGTTCAATAAATAGGTATTACTTTATAAAACAAATATAAAAAAGGGAATTAGTTACTATTGAATGAATTTGAAAATTATGGTAACAGTGTACTAAATAATAATGTACAGGTTTTTCACAAACTTTACTAGTGTTTGGTGTGGCGCAATGTCCTATGTGCTGGTCACTAGGTACTCATTGTGCCGCAGATCAAAACCAAGTTTCATGTTTTTTTTTGTATCTTAATTTTTTTACCCAATATTTTTATTATGAGAAATATAATATTAAAAATTATTTATGTGTTTATACTTAAATATAAATTATTATATTTAATAATTGTATAGATATTATTTTTGAAATTTTCATGGAAAAACGACTGGATAAATTTCACGGTAATTTGATACAAAATACCTCTAGATATCCTTTATTGGTTTGCAAACTATTGCAGTACGCAACAGGCGTAGCCATACAATTACTGATAATGAAAAACGAAGATTTTTCTGTGAGGTAAATGTACAGTGTTCCGGACTAGTACACAATTTTAAACGATACTCAATAGACTATAGTT